GGGGGTGTTCTTTCCCGGTGAAGACCGGCCGAGTTGCTCCACTCTCGCCAACGAGACAGAACGATCCCATGACCAAGCAGTGTTTTTCAACTGGATGATCTGCTCGATGGTCTAAGGGACAGCGAACGTACAAAGTAAGTGGTTGGAGGTCTTCTCGACCATCCATATACGAAATATCTACCTACTACTGTAAGAAGACTAGGCTCTTTTCAAGCTAATGAACGTCACCCCAATGCCAACTGATCGGCATCTCTTCCATACCTGATCGGCCACGTCGCGCAAGGGCGCCCATTCGGCCAGGGAAGCTTGGAAACCGCGCGAGGGCAAGGGGCCTCAGGTGGAGCAAGTTCGAGGTTTAGCGCCGCTGCAGCTTGGTGGGGGCGTTTGGTCAGGGTGAGTAGTTGCGCGGACCATGTTCTTGATGCCTTTTTCAAGAGGGTTTTCATATGTTTTCATGAGGGAACAAGAGCACTCCAGAACTGTGAATTCCATCTTCATTTTGGCTCCCCAAAATGATCCAATTAGATCCAATTAGAGGAGACAGGGGAGACACCTTTGCGTCCCCGGTTGCTTTACTTTGGTTTTTGATACTTCCAATGCCATCAATGTGACACTCCTGGAAGGTACGTTGCTCTGCGAAGATACCAAGTGGTCAAGTGGTGGTCACCCAAAAAATATGAAGGAGAAAACTACTATAACAAACGATATATAACCCTTATACTGTAAGTTAAAAGTTAAGAAACACAGCATTCGAAGTCTTTTTGAGCCCTGCCACTTGGGCGGCACGACTACCAGGGAAGAGGTAGGATGAGGGAAGGGGTAGGATTTCCAGGTAGTATCAAGCCAGTGGCAAATTCATATCATTTGTGTAAGAGGCCGGGTAGCTTTTAGTAATTGAAACTCGCAATAATCAAGTATAATATGCCATGTCATCATGCTTCTATAAAACTTCGCATTGATTAATTCTGCCCTAGTGAAACAGGTTTGAACGCACTTGCTTTGAACAGGCTAATCGCTAGCAACTGAAGTAGCGTATGGTCACTAGACTGTCAAAAGCTAATGACTAAACTGTTGACAATTTTGTTCTTGAAGTAAAGGAAAGAAACAAAACCTAATGACTAAAAGAGTGGACTATATTTTTGGTGAAGTAAAGGAAGGAAACAACACCTAATGACTAAAACTAAGGACCAAAAAGTTTGGTGAAGGAAAGTAAGGAAACAAAACCTCGAGACTAAAGCTGTAGAAGAAACTTTGGGTGAAGGAAATTACTAAAAACTGTGAACAAAGTGTTTTGGTGAAGTAAAGGAAGGCAACAACACTTTATGACTAAAACTGTTGACAAATTTGTTTGGTGATGTAAAGGAAGGAAACAACACCCAATAACTAAAACTGCGGACAACATTTGTTGGTGAAGTAAAGGAAGTAAACAAAACTTAATGACTAAAACTGTGGAGCACAATTTTGGTGAAGGAAAGGAAAACAAAACCCAATGACTATTAAACCTGCAAATCAAAAGTTTTGGTGAAGGAAAGTAAGGAAGCAAAACTTAAGGACTGAAACTGTGGACAAACTCTTTTGGCGAAGCAAAGGAAGGAAACAAAGCCTGATGACAAAAACTGTGGAACAAAAGTTTTGGTGAAGGAAAGTAAGGAAGCAAAACCCAATGACTAAAACTGTAGAGCAAAAGTTTCGTGAAGCAAAGTAAAGAAACAAAAACTAATGACTAAAGTTGTGGACAAAGTTTTTTTGTGAAGTAGAAGAAGAAAACAACATTATAATGACTAAAACTGTCGACATTTTTTTGTAATGAGGAAAGAAACAAAACCTGATGACTAAAACAGTGGACAGAATCTTTTGGTGAAAGGCAGGAAGAAAACAAACCCAAATGACTAAGACTGTGGACCAAAATGTTTGGTGAAGGAAAGTAAGGAAACAAAAACTAATGACTATTAAAACTGTAGACTGTAGACCAAAAGTGTTGGTGAAGGAAAGTAAGGAAGCAAAACTTAATGACTAAAACTGTGGGCAAATTTTGTTTGATGAAGTAAAGGAAGGAAACAAAACTAAATGACTAAAACAGACAGTGGATCAATTTTGTTTGGTAGTTGAAGGTATGGAAACAAACTTAATGATTAAAACTGTGACTAAAAACGTGGACTAAAACAGGCCAAGGAGTTCCACAGCCTCCGGAATTCCCGTTTCCTTCAAGGACGCCAGGGCACCCGAACGCTGCGGAAGATGTTTTTTTTCAGTCAAAGTCTCCAAGAAGGCTTGCCGACGGGAAGTCAGGAAACTAAAAAATATTAAATTCAGCATGTCGTCCACCTTCTCCAACTTATGCATGACAAACAAGTCTGGTCTCAACAACAACTAAGCTGTTTAGATTTGAGTAGCAATTTGCAATTTGTTTTGCTTGGTCTGCGCCTGGCCTGCGCCTGGTCTGCGCCATCAGCACGATTTTGGCCATATTGATTGTAAACCTATTACGTTTGTTGTATAAATATTAAAAAGAAAAATTGTAATAAACAAAATCGTTGCTGAATTGTTCAATTAAAGACCTTTTCATATCTCCTTCCACGTTGTTATTATTGAATTTTGCAAAACTTGTTAATCGGGCGCAGACCAGGCGCAGACCAGGCGCAGACCAATCAAAATACATTGTAAATTGCAACTTAAATCTGAACATCTAACTTGTGGTTGAGACCAGGCTTGCCTGTCATGCGTAAGTGTTTGCTGAGAATTTGGAAAATATTTGATTGATATGCGCCTGGTCTGTGCAATTAGAACGTTTTTCAAATCTACTTTATAATAGATAGTTTATTGTACTAATAAATGTTTACAATCAAAAACGGTCCTCAAATATTTAGCGCAAAACGCTTTTGCATATGTGTTTGAATGTTGGTAATAAACAATTTAATAAAAATTCACCACGGGGCGCGTACCAGGCGCAGACCAGGCGCAAACCAGGCGCAGATCAATGAAATTACATTGTTTGTAAAGCAGTGGCGTTGGGTAGGTACTCAATGGAAAGAGAGCTGTTGTTAAGCTCTGGTTCGTATTGGTTGCTGTAGGGTGCTGTTTTCCAGGTAGGCTGATCGCTGCGGAAGAACCTTTAGTAAGGTCTCTTAATAGCCTTGAAGAAGGCTTGACGATAGGAAGCCAAGAAACTAAAAATTACATTCAAATTCAGCATGTCGTCCACCTTCTCCAGTGAATGAAAAATTATGTATGACAAACAAGTCCGGTCTCAACAACAACTAAGCTGTTTAGCTTTGAGTGGCAATTTGCAATTTGTTTTGCTTGGTCTGCGCCTGGTCTGCGCCTGGCCTGCGCCTGGTCTGCGCCATCAGCACGATTTTGGCCATATTGATTGTAAAACTATTACGTTTGTTGTATAAATATTTAAAAGGAAAATTGTAATAAAGAAAATCGTTACTGAATTGTTCAATTAAAGACCTTTTCATATCTCCTTCCACGTTGTTATTATTGAATTTTGCAAAATTTGTTAATCGGGCGCAGACCAGGCGCAGACCAATCAAAATACATTGTAAATTGCAACTTAAATCTGAACATCTAACTTGTGGTTGAGACCAGGCTTGCCTGTCATGCGTAAGTGTTTGCTGAGAATTTGGAAAATATTTTGATTGATATGCGCCTGGTCTGTGCAATTAGAACGTTTTTCAAATCTACTGTATAATAGATAGTTTATTGTACTAATAAATGTTTACAATCAAAAACGGTCCTCAAATATTTAGCGCAAAACTCTTTTGCATATGTATTTGAATGTTGGTAATAAATAATTTGATAAAAATTCACCCACGGGGCGCGTACCAGGCGCAGACCAGGCGCAAACCAGGCGCAGATCAATTAAATTGCATTGTTTGTAAAGCAGTGGCGTTGGGTAGGTACGCTCAATGGAAAGAGAGCTGTTGTTAAGCTCTGGCTCGTACTGCTGTAAGGTGCTGTTTTCCATGGCAGCTGATTTTGATTACTAGGTGAAGGATCAAATAACCATTGAGTCATTGAGGCCATTTCAGCCTTGTGTTTTATTTGTCAGCCTCATGAATCAAACTTCTGCTACTGCTGCGACCTAAATTCGAAAACCAGAACCAGCAGTCTGAGCATTGAAGACTGAAAAGGCAGTATAAATTAATTTATGTAATGAAAAACATGTAAATTAAAGCAAAAAATATATATCTAAAAACACATCAAGATGATTGAATTGAATAGTGGTCGCCTGTCAGTCGCGCCAATGATTTGGAAATATTTCAATAAAACCTTGGACCTTAGCCTACTAGTTGCTACTCTCTATTCATTCATAAGAAGGTGGCGGCACTGTTCACTCACTCACTGTTATGTTACCATTGGATTCTGATGACAATGACTCGTCAATCCTGCCAACTCTCAATTAAATTCAGACTTTATTTATTTATATTGTTTGTCAGTGAGTGGTTAATAAACTTAATATAATAATGCGATTCAAACAAACAAATTAAATATTCAGTGAGCTGGCTCTCACGCCGTCACCAAAGCCGCAACAAGATTCCAGGTGTGATTGCCATGGGCTCTAGTCCAGGCAAATTTAACACCAAAGCCCGCATTTCCAAACCAAGTGCACTCTTCAGTTGGCTCATCCAACTGAAAGCACGTAGAAAACACCAGCCCGGCCAGAAAAAACATCACATCCCGACCACAATGATATTCAAATCCAACTGTCCCACCATAACATATATTGCCTCCAAAAGACTACAAGTTCGCACTACAAGTTCTCACAAAGACTTGGAACCTGTAACACAAATTTCAACTAAAGCACAGCTGAACTGAACAGTGCGATTTCAGTTGCAAAAAGTCATGGGTGACAATGTGTGTGTGTGTGCTGATTTCACCAGAAGCAATAAAGTAACTTTTTGCTGGGCACCCAAGGGCACAGACCACCTGGTCACTTACTTACTGCAATTCCAAAACCCTGCAGCCACTGGAAAATGTAAAAATTGTAGCCTGTTCACCTGAAGGCTTGCTGCACTGCACTCTTCAATTCAACTACCGCCCTTTGTACAGAAAGAACTTGGCACCTTTCAAAATCCTGCGTTACTGCAGCCAAGTTGTGATGGAGAAAAAATGATTGGTGTAAAAAGGGGTTAAGAAGTACATAATTCTGCGTGAATTAAATATTTCTAGACTACTGCTGTCTGTTCTACTTAATTTTTGTTCTATTAGACAATGTTTAAACTAACCGCTCCGTCTGGCACAGGTTGGGCACGACCACAATTTTGGCAACCTTGCTGGGCGTCTGAATCTGTGCAAGTGCTTCTTGTTCTATAAAATGTCTTAC